TATTTTGCCTGAGGTGACCAAAGATAGAAATGAAAAGAATCAGGTGCGAGTGCACAAAGGAAAGAAGGGAGCGGCAGAAACCATTTCTATTGTTACAGAGAACATACACATTTCCACAAAGAGAAGGTGGCTAGAAATACGAATGTTAAAGGGGCTTCTGGTGAGGTCTCAGGTGGAAAGAAGTAACACGCACTGGAAGGCGAAAGAAGGCAACTGTGTTCTGCTGGATAGGAAAGCAGAACTTGGAGGTGATAAAGTAGACGTTGAGCTGAGGAGATTCCTAAGCCGCGTGTTGAAGGCAGGGCCCGGTTTGTTCTTGCTACTTATCGTAAAATGTAAGAAGAGAGAGATATACTGAGGGAATTATTGAGCAAAAGGGATCCAGAACTGAAACTTTTCATGTTGTAAAAAAAATGAGAAAGTGTACTTGGGAGAGAATACCAGGGGTGAGGCTGAGCATCCATTTGTGGAGATTAGGCAAGTGGATCCAGTCCATCATTTTAGCAAAAATACTCCTAACATGGACTGAACAGGACAGAGACGGGATAAGACGGAGAAAGGCTTTCAGACTTCTGGCATTCTATAGTCAGGAATGGACCAATGGAGCTATGCAGCCTCAAACATAAAGTACTCTAGAGAAAAGGGGGAAGGAACCTGAGGCTGGGCCTACCTCCTTAATACCAAAGAGCAGGGCATTATCCTTGGCTCTCCTAGGACTGTGGTTTCGGTGGGCTAAGCCACCCAGTCTATAGTATTTTGCTATGGTGGCCTAGCTGACTTACACAGAGACCTTATTTGGAAACTGTCCTTGTACATGAAGAGTCAAGATAAGGTCACCAGGGTGGGGCCTAATCCAGTACGACCGGTATCCTTAGAAATACAGGACACTTGGACAACAAGACATGCATAGAGCAAAGACGATGTGAAGAGACACAGGGCGGGAACAGCCACCTACAAGCCACAGAAAGGCCTGGAACAGACCCTTCCCTCGGAAGAAACCAGCCCCGCTACCTTCATTTCAGACTTCCAGCATCCAGAACTGTAAGAAAATAAATCTCTGTGCCTCCTAGTTTGTGGTACTGTTGTGGGATCCATAGCAAACTAGTACAATGCTTCTGAAAAACTGGGTAGCCTTATTTCCTGTTGGGAAATACAGAACTTGGGACATCCATATATACGTGGGAAAAGCCAGATATGTTATTGTGCTAATAAATAATACTGTGAATGAAAATTCGCTACAGCTACAGGATCAAAAATCAAGGGTTTACAAGCCATTCTTCCCTGGTACATATATTTGAGGTTTGGGTATTTATTGTTTATGTAAAATACTGTAATTTCTTTTTATATCACCCTGTATTAAATTTAGGATAAAATTAACACTTCCATGGAACTTGGTATTTTAGAAGAATAGTCAATATGTTCCCTTTTAAAATAATGCCAGATGTCCACATGAATTTAGATACTAGCTGATACAATGTATTATTTTATGACAAGCAATGCAAATGGAACTGAATAAATTAGAAAACTTCAAAGTAATATTAGTGAGACTTTTTAGAGCTTATGATATTAAAAATATTGGTTTTATTTTCAGTAATAAGCTACTAGAGATTCAAATGTTTGGGTTTCAGTTACAAAATAAAGTACTTTTAAAGAATAAGGTAGGAAACTGAAGTCAATGCTTTTAGTTCAGTCTCCATGGCAACACGGGAAGGAGCACAGTCTGGTGGAGGAGATGAAAGCCACCAACTCTCAATTTCAGAGCCCGGCATTAACTCACCACGGAAAGCCACATTCATACCTCGGCATTTCATCTCTGCCTTTAACACAGCACTCCGGCTTCACTCCACAGAAGGGCACACCTGGTACTCACTTAACTTGCATTTATGTTCTGAAACAATGTGAGCTTATTCACACTGAATTGGTGGCAGGAGAAGAGTAGCAGTAAACGGAAAATAGAAATGCTGATGAAGTTGCCCACATTTCTTGTAAAGTAGCCCCAAATGACTTCATTTGAAGGATCTACTTTACTTTCATCAATTAATTACTATGATAAAAAGAAAGATTATTTTCAAAAACAGGCATTTCAAATTTGATGGGCTGCTTACTGAGCATTCTGACTTACTACTTTCTTTTCCATGTCTGCGGTGAGGAATGTCTTCAATAGGAAATTGTACAATCACAAGGCATAAGGACATTGACTGCAGTTTAATGAACTAGTCCAGACTTTCCTATGTGTGAATATGAAGATCATTTGTCCCAGGTCCTGTTGTTCAGGAGTCAAAATCAGGGCCTGGGCCCTTGATTACTACGATACTGCTTCTTCACAGATGCATCTATTTCATTTATTAATTTTGCCCATGTCAAAATACACTTGGAACCTGACTCAGTCCTTTTTATTCTAATATCAATGCTATTCTATCAACTTTGGTTATCGGATCTGATAAGATTCAAAGCACTATAATTTGGATTTGTTCTGTGGTTCCTGCTCCATAACTCCCTTCTCCAAAGTGGATCTCAGAAACTCTAATCTTCCTCTTTTTCTGCCTCGGAGCTGGCCATAAACTGTCTGAATGACTGTGGCAGGAGGCCGCAAGTTCTTCCTCATTACAGAGGGGTCCTGTCCCGTCCCCCCAGAGGACTACTGCACAGAATGAGCCAAGCTACAGCCACCAGGACTTGGAAGGGTTCCCTTTAGTCTACTGGCAATCACATCTATGTAATGAAGTCTCCACAAAACCCCAAAAGGACAGAGTTTAGAAAGCTTCTGTGTAGCTGAACACACGGCGGTTCCTGGAGGGTGGCGCCCCAGAAAGAGCATGTGAGCTCCAAACCCTCTCTCCCACACCTCATCCTGTGTGCCACTCAATCTGTACCCTTTGTAATGACCTTTATAATAAACTGATTAAAGTCTTCTTCTGGATTCTGAGAGCAACTCAAGGAAATTAATCAAGCCAAGGAGGAGGGTGTGAGAACTCCAATTTACACTGCTTGGATAGAAGCACAGGTGATACAATCTGGGGCTTGCAATTGGCATCTAAAGTGTGTGTCGGCAGCTTAGGGGCCTGCGATGATTGTCTGATAGGTCAACTTCACTGGATTAAGAAACATCTAGCAGATTAGTAAGCAAGCTCCTGGGTATGTGGGGTGCTTGTGGATGTGTGGCCTTGTGTACCCTTCTTGTCTGGGGCTGTTTCCCTGCTCTGCCATGCCCTTGTGCCACGAGGTTTCTGCCTTGGAGCCTCCTGTCATGGACTGAATCCCTTGAAACCGTGACTAAATTAAATCTATCTTCCTTTAAGGTGTGAGTACTGGGTATTGTGTTTCAGTGATGGGAAAGCTAACTAACACAGGGCCTGAGCCCTCAAACTTGGATGTGATGCTATCTCTAGGCAGAAAGTGTCAGAATGGAACTGGATCAGGGACATCCAGTGGTGCACACTGCTGCAGAACTGACTGCTTGCTTGGTGCGTGGAGGAAACCCTTGCTCATATGCCACAAGTGCTCTGCATGGTGAATATACAGTAAGCAAAGAGTGTGAATGTGGGGTTTGTTTTTCCCAGCAAATTAGAAAGGTTCAGAGTGGGGCTCTTTAAACAGGAAACATTATAAAACACAGAAAGTTGAAATGGGAACTGAAAGCATACCAAAGAGGATTATCCAGAGCAAGAAAAAGATAAGCATAGTTGTTGGAAGGAGCAGGCAGAGAGGCGGAGAAGTTAACGCTTGTGCTGAGTATCTGTTATGTGCAGGTGTTCGCCTTCTTCACCTGTTGGCTGTCACCACGGGCCTGCTGCGTGGGCTGCTCTGCCCCCGGTTCCAGGCCCAGAGGACACAGCAGTCTGCTCAAGCTCTCACAGCAGAAAAGCGGGGCTGGCTGGATGCGAAGGGCCAGCTCTAAACACCGCGCCACACTGCCCACTGTGCAGGGATTACAAAAAGAAACGAGGGGAGGGGGCTGGCGTGTAATTCAGTGAGGCCCTGGGTTCGATCTCCAGCACCAAAGAAAAATAAGGAAGAAGAAAGAGAACAAGGAGGAGGGGGAAGAGAAGGAGCAAAGAGGAGAAGAATGAGAGAACAGAAGAGAGAGAAAAAAAGAACAAAATGAGGGAAAGAAAACCTTGGAAATGTTTCTACAAAAATGATCACAATGGAAACACTTTTGGGTATTGAAAAGGGATAACAAGCTCCAGTTTTCTGGAACATTTATTCACCCACAACACCACATTCGAAGTGTAAGTATTACACTACTTCTTTTTAACTTAAAAAAATTCAAACTTAACAAAAATCCTACATTTAGAAAATCCATAAGCTAAACTGTACACGTGGGATTTTTCATTTCCTGTCTTATTGTTGTTTTTTTCTAACTACAGAACCAGTGTTAAGGCTTTTACTTTGTGAACATTCTTAGCAAATTCGAGGCACTGTGCCAAGAACTAAAGAGTGGCCTGAGAAAGCCATTTGGCAGGGCTGGAAATTGAAAACACAAACACCACACGTGCACAGATTTCAGGCACACACTTTCAGTTAGCAGAGCCAGTGAAATAGAAGGGCTGGGCTCGTCCCTTTATACCGTACAACTCTTTTCTTTCCTTTGTTTTTTTTTTTTTTTGGTACTGGGGATCGAAATCGAGTCCTTGTACTTGCGCAGCAGGCGGCGAAACCACTGAGCTAAATCCCCGGCCCTGTACAACTCTTTTCTTGCCTCTCTTCTTACCTTATTACCTAAAGACTATCGTGAATAGGAGGATAGCAGGGAAACATTCCCACAAAAAATGAGCTACTCCAAATAACATGCCCAAAACAATTGTTCTGTAAACGACCCAAAATTAATTAATAGGGACTTCCAGGGTTCTTGTACTCGTTTCGATTAGCTGCATCTCAGGAAGCATACTGCGCCCCTCCAGAGCTGCTGACTAACAACGCTTTCGGGCACGGACCCCGGCTCCCCACACTGAACCCGTGCCCAGCTGTAAACCCTGGTCCCACTTAGGCGTGATTACCCCTGGTGCAGCCCTGCCATTGGCGTCTCTCTCAAGGGGAAGAGCTTGGGGTAGACGATGGTAAACATGGGCTCACTACACCGGTGACAGTGTCCCAGGGGACAGTGCAGCAGCTCCAGGAGACTTCTGGGTAATGAGATGGGAGACAGGAAGTTCAAATCTGGAACACATAAGAAAAATCATGCGTGTGAGTGAAAAATCTGATTTTCTGAAACCAAATTGCTTAAAATACTTCTCTTTGTTACCAAGTAAGTTCAGTTAGACCACTTTGTGCTGAAAATTCTGTTATCTGATCAGTACTGAATAAAAATCTAATATTATTAGGAAATGAAAGATTTTTTTTACATTTTTGATAGTAAAAGAAAATGAAACTCTCTCTTTTAAGAGCAAGCAAAAGCTGTTCTGAGGTGGAGGCAAGGAAAGAATAAGATCAAATAGTCTTTAAGAACAAGGATCAAAAAAAGCATCAATTTACCCAGAGAGGGTTTTGCAAGCTTTTATACGAGTCAGAGCACTAAGGGAGGGCTGGGACCGGAGACTGTCGCCGACTTTCATGAAGTTTCCCTAACTCTATTGGGCATCTACTCAGCATCAATCAAGGCTAAATTATGTTTGCTGAAAAGAATGAAATGCAGGCAACCGAAGAGAATGAAAGATAACGAAACCAAGTTTTTCCCTGTCTCATTCCCATGAGCTGTCATTAATAAAACAGGGAGCGTTCCTTCCCAGATGAATCTGAGTCACACAAAAGAGACAGTGAAAGAAAAACATCCCAGCAACCCAGGCAATCCTGACACAAATTTACCCTCGGTTCCCATACTGATAAGAAGCATCCAATAGGGGAAGAAATGTTCATAATGAGGTGAAATCCAAAAATTACCAGCTCGTCTCTGCAAAGGAGATAATCAATATGTGCTTAACGTTTTGTATCTGTCCAGACTCACCAATCGCCGCTTAGAAAAATGTAATTTACTCATAGGTCAATAAATAGAATTTCTGGTTTTTTTAAAAAAATTTAATTTTGTGCTAGACATTCCTGGAAGGAAGGTTAGATTTTTCTGATGGTCTTCTTATTTTTTATGTAAAGACAAAACATTTAGCAGCTTTAAAAACACCTGAAATGTACTTGTCTTATTAATATAGCCTAGTGCTACCCTTCCTTTTGGGTGGCAGGGACTGAAGCTAGAGCCTCATATATGCTAAGTGTATCCTCTAGCACCGCGCTACTAGTGCTTTCTAAAGGGACTGCAGATATGTACCCTGCATACCTATAAATCTAGGCACTGTCAAGTCCCTTCCAAAACAAGTTGGCATGCTGTGATAATACCGCCAAAGGCACCTCATAGGTCATTCTTCTCCTCATATTTCTCAGATGCAAGGAGATAGCAAGGCAAAAACCTGCTCTGCTGAAGGAGATATTCAACTCTGCTTCTAAATATTTCCCTACCACCAGCCTTTTACTCCAAATACACATTCTAAACCCCAGTTGCTCTCCTTTAAACATAGCGTAACTCTGAAATGCTTGCCCTTCACAACTGGAGACCAAATTTAAATGAGTGTTTCGATGTGATTGCAGTGGGTGCTAAAAAGACCAGTGTTGAGAAAATATTAAAACTTTTTTTCTTATAAAAAAACTTCCAGCTGGATGGAGTCACGTGTGCCTATAGTTCTGGCTACTGAGGAGCCTGAGTCTGTGGCAGGAAGACCCTTGAGCCTGGGAGTGAGACCCTGTCTCAAAAAAATAAAAATAAAAATAAAAAAGTGTGGAAATATTTTACTGCTACTGAACTGTATACATAGAGAGCCAAAATGGTATATTTTACCATGATAAAAAAATATTTTTACAAGATGAAAGCCCAAACAGGCAGCATAAGACACCATTGTTTGTTCACTGAATGAAAGGGGGAAAAAGTACCTTTGAGGAAGCGGTGGCAGGCGTGGTAGAGACTCCGCATGGCCAGCTCCTGCAGAGGCAGCACGTGGTCACGCTCTGTCCCTATGGCCTTCACCTCGGCTGGCAGGAAGACGGTCAGCTGCCCCGATGAAAAGGAGAGCAGCTTCATCTCCGACACCTGGATGGGGGCCCCACAGCTGCAGGAAGGCACACCCCGCGGTGGCATGAGCAATGAGGGCCAGCACACATGGATTCGTCACAATTTACGTTTGAAAATTTATGACCCTGCTGCATTGCTGGAATTCTTTTCCAAATGCACAGATGCTGCCCTGGCTCTCAATAACACCTGGGTCGGAAATTTAAACTGGGCCCGGTTTGGTGGCACATGTCTGTGCTCCTAGAACTCAGGAGGCTGAGGCAGGAGGATTGTGAGTTTAGCCCAGACTGGGCTGCATAGTGAGTCTGAGGCTGGCCTGGACTGTGTAGAAAGACTCTGACTCCAAAAACCAAAACAAGCAACAGAAACTCATCAGTGGGAACATGGCTAACTCACCCTGAGGCCCAGTCATTTTCAGCAAGGACAACTCTGAACTTCCCTTCAAAGAACCCACACAATTTGCTCTGTAAGCTCTATCTTCCCTCCTTTTACTAGCCTCTGAACCTTTCGAAATTAAAACTTCTTCATTTGTTCCTTTCTTCCCTCCCTCAGAAAATGGTACCAGAGTACCTATTCTATGCCAGCCAAGATACTGAGATTAAAAAGCCAAGACGGTCCTTTCCCCCCAGGAGAATAATTACAATACAACTCTTCTAACATGGGGGTCAGGGGAAATTTCACAGAGGAGCCAGTCTCTGATTCAGAGCTCCCACTTTCCCCAGGAAAAACGGAAGGAGATACATACAGTGAGGCAAGGGGTGGACTGTGCAGCAGGACACCCTAAGGAACATGGCTGTGTCTAGGGGGCAGGGTGGGTGGGAACAGGGACACAGGATGTGGAAGGATGGAGAAGGAGGCTGGGAACATGAAGTGAAGACTCTTAGAAAATTATCTGGTCACAATATGGAGGACAAGGAAGAGACTGGTAGCAAAGAGGCAAAGAAAACCTCAAACCCAGAAGGAAACAGGAAAGGGAAAGTTGTTGGGTCTTGAGCGTGAGAGTGTGAGGTAGGTAGAAGAGGTGTGGAGTAGCCTTGGTGGTAGAAGCCAGTGGCTTTCTCTATAGGACCCTAAGGCCAAGAATTCACAATTCCCAACTACTGAAATTTGGGGGGTTGATCTGTTTAAAATACAGATGTCAGTAAATTTCAGAAGCAGAAATCATAGGTGAGATGGGCTACACAAATTCCATGTAAGGACATCTTTTTTACACAAAGCGATTTTATTGATTTGATCATAGGAGCTCTCTGGTTTTTAGCCAGGAGTTTGTTTTTCTACAGGCTATTTCAAAACAATTTAACATTGTAAATCTGAATTATAAAAATAATGTATGATAATTGGTACGAGTTAAATAATAAAGAAAGTGAAGAAAAAACAATTTCTCAAGTTTCCCCTCTTCAAACCCTATCTCCACCTTCAAAGTAACCACAATTATCACTTTGGTGTGATCATTTTCTTCTCACTCCACCACAAATGTGGTGACTGATCTTTTCTTCTTTTTTTTTTTCTAATCAAATGGGATCATACAATACTGTAATGGGCTTTTGTTCATGTAATCTTTCAGGCCAATCAAATTTAGAGAAATCTTAATAGTCAAGTAACATTTCATAGTATGGATGAATATAATTTATTTATTAACTCATTTACTGTGTTCACCTCATTTTTCAGTTTTCCATCCTACTACACAAACAACATCACAATAAATGTTGACTCCACTCTCGTGCATGGATGTTTGGATTTTTGTAAGATAAAACTCCCAGAATGAGGGCTGTTGGCCATGAAAACTGAAAATTTTACATGTCTGAGGTCTTTCCAAAAAGGCTGTGGGAAAGTGTCCACTTGCCCACATCATCATCAGAACTGGGTGTCGGCGATGATTTCAGTCTTTTACCACTCGAATGCATGGAAACGGCCATCATGGTTGCTGAAGTTCATCACCTTCTGACCATTTGCATTTCCTTTTCTGAGAACTGTCCATCCATCCACATCCCTTGCCTAATTTTCAACTGAATTAAAAAATCAATTCTTAGCAATTTCCATATTGGCAGTAACAATCCTTTGTCATATGTACTGAAGTATTTATTTCCAAAAAATTTTTGTCTTATAATTTTGCATATGTTGCTTTTTACCACCCAGCAGTCTTTTTTTTTGTTTTGCTTTAAAATCTATCCACTTTTTACCTTCAAGGGATCTAACTTTTCTGATTTCTTAAAGAAGGTTGCCCTCATTTGAGGACTGTACATATATTATCCCAAAGTTTCTTCTAGTAGACTTATTGTATTATTTTTACATGCAGATGTTTTATCTGTCCTTTTTTTTTGTTGGTATATAAAACCGGACTCAAATGTTTTCTTCTGAATGAACAACACTACTGGCAGCATTATTAAATAAAGCTCTCATTTACCACTGAAATGCCCACATTACTATACTAAGTTCCCAAACCCCTGTGAATTAGCTTTTGGAGTGCCCTTGAATCTGTTCAGTGATGTGCTTGTTTAACCCCATGACAATCCTTTATTCTTTTCATCACAACAACTTTACAGAAGATTCCATTGTCTGATAAATATGCCCCAACTATTCAATTTTTTCTTGCAATTCTCAGTTGTAAATTATTCAATTTCAACTTTATAGTCACTTTAGATATCCCCCAAACCTTCTTGAGATTCAGATTAGAATTAACATAGATTTATATGTTAATTTGGGTGAGACAAGTCTTTCAACATTAAGCATAAAATGAACTGTTGGCATTTCATTGATACCTTTTATCAGTTGAGGACATTTCCTTCCATTCCTAGTTTGCTGAATTAAAAAAAAATAAATTAGGAATAGCTGTTGGATTTGTTTCCCTTGGAGTAAACAGGAATAGAAAGTAGAGGTCATCTCAGGGACTGAAGCCTAACCTCAAAGCATTTCAATCTGTGACAATGGATTAGTACTTTCTAGCAGTGCAAACTGCTGGAAGGTCATCATATCAGTAAAGATCCAGCCAGGAGACAGAAACCACACTGGTAATATCAAAACTATAAGAACTGTTAACCTGTAAAAAGGCTATTAACTACTAAAAAGTGTGCAGAAGTAACAAGACCAGAAAGAAGCTGTCCCTCAAGAATGTAAGGAGAGTGAGAAAGGAAGCTACTTAAAGTCATAAACTTTTGGGAAACTCTTTAGGGTCCATTAGTCCCAGGGCCAGGAGATGTTAGAGAACTGAGCACAAGGATGATGTGTATCTGTTTACTCAACAGGACGACCACATTTAAGGAAATGATTATTTAGGGAAATGGAGTCATCTGGAAAATGGAACGCTGGCAGATGTCTTATTTTCTGTATCAACTTAGCAAGGGCCTGGTGCCCAGATACTTGGTCAAATACCAGTCTAGATGGCAATTAAATCAGCAGACTTTGAGTAGAGTGACTCACCCTTTACAACTCAAGTGGGCCTCGTCCAATCAGTTGAAGGTCTGAAGATCAGAGACAAAAGTTCTCAGCAGAAGACAGAACTCGATCTCTGGGCTGCCTTTAGACTAAGCTGAAACATCAGCTTGGGGTGCCCTGCACTAATAGCTTTGCCAGCTACGGTTTGAGCTGAACCCTGACAAATACACTTGGTAAAATAATATTGTCAGTTTCCAAACTTTATAGCCACATTGTAGTATGAGAACCCTGAACAAAACTGTAAAACAATAAAAATGTACTCTGAAAAGTAAGACACTCAAGAATATTCACTTCATACTCTTACCTACTTAGCAGCTGCTGCTTCTAAACCCAGCCGTGGGTACACCATACGTGGACAATGCCCAAAGAATCCAACAATACCAAAGAAAGCTTGAGAGAACTGAAAGCTAGCTTCTTCCTAGTGCTTTCACTATGTCCAATAATTAAAAAGACAGATGTCTGATTTAACAGTTGAAAAGTCTCCCATTGACAAGTAAATGTGTCCTCACTTTATATAAAGATTTATTTCCCTTTGATAATTCTTTTAGCAGGAGTTCCTACTCTTCACCACTGGATATAAGAAGCTAATTAATTTTAAGATCCATTTATTAAATGCTTTCTGTGTTTCACACTGGAGAGCGAGCTATAGCTAGGTAGAAAGGCCGCAAGGGAAGCAGTCACACGGTTTTTACACATTGGCTGTTCCATGGCCAGCGTTGTGTGAGTTGCACCAGAGACAGAGTCTCTATCCTATCTCTTTCTCCAGGAGTCAGCAGAAGAGCTCACACAGAGTCACGACCCTAGACCATGGCGGGGAGAGAGTGCACCCAGGACACAGGCTGACAGAGCAGACAAGGGAAAGGACCATACTGCTACACACCTAGCTGTCTGACCTTGGACAATTAATCTTCTGAGCTTCCAGTTCTTCATTTCTAAAATGAGGGTAATAACACAAATTACTGGGAGGATTTTTACGCAATAATGCAGATAAATCAATGAGTGCAGTGTCTGGTATAGAGTAAGTGCTAATCAATGTGGATGGCCACGCTTTCTTTTTATTATTATTTATCATTACAAGCTAGATTAGAATGATGAGAGTCCGGGGAACGAGAATAATATGAACAGGGACCCAGCTCTGTGAATGCACAGGCCACACGACATTAGATCCGAGTGTCCAGTGAAAACTCCCAATGGGGAGGAAGCTGGAAATGTACCTGACTTGAAAAATGAGTGTTACTCACCTAAAAAAAAAGAATGAAGTGACTTGTAGGTAAGAAGGAATAGCCATGATATGCTTCAGTTCACGGTGAAATGAAGTATTAGTTTGCAATGATTAAACCTTGGCACTTTTGATTTATAATGCAATAGTTTTCAGATTAAGCGCCTAGGTGGTTACAAAAAAAAGATTTGGATAGTGAGCCCCCAAATGAGTTGTTAAAATTACAAATGTTAGTACCTTTGGTTTAGTAATACAGACAATTTATAACAATTGTTGCACAATTTCCTTTGGAATCAATATTTTCAGAGCTGCCATTCAACTTCTAGCCCCAACTAAGCTATAGTATTCTCATTTTGCCACTGAGATTTTGCCACATATGTGCTTTATAA